TTTTTTTTTTTTTTTTTTTTTTTTTTTTTGGGCGAAAAACTCTTAAAGGTGGACTAGATATCAAACAGAAGAATGAAACCTAGGATCGCGTCTGGGCCAGTGATTCCGAGCAGCAGCCAGTGTCTTTAGGGCAACTTAGCGTGCTCTCTCTCTCTCCCTCCCTCCCTCCTTCTTTTCTCTGCTGACTAAAAGTGACGGCACCTCATGATGTAGGGTCTCTGCAGTGTCAGCAATAGGACTTGTTTGAGAGGCTCCTGGTGGGCAACTATGAAGTTTTAAGTTCAGTTGGACTGTACTCTCTCTGGAAGGAATATTCACGATGGTCTTCTGTTTCCTGAAACAAAACCTGAAGGACTGATCAACGTTTAAGATAACATTGTTGTGAGCCATCTATGTCCACCACTCCAAGTTTTGGCCTAAAATATCACCTCATTCCCTTCTGATGCTCCTAGGAAAACTAACCCCCGCCCCGCCGAGGGAGAGCTTTTCACAGCGACCAGGTCAGCCACAAACCCAAATCATTTAGAAAGAGACGCTCTTTTTCGGCATTAACGGCACTATTAAGAATAAGGTTCATGATCGGTCTCCCGCTCCAGGTCCCGCGGGTGGGAGGGGCGCGGCGGCCGGGCCCGACCTTGGGCAAATCTCAGTCACCATCGGGGTGACTGTCGCCGGCCTCTTCGAGTGCTTCGGACCCTCCAGCCTGCGCGCAGGGCTCAGTGAGGAGATGCCCAAGCGCAGGGCATCCACGAGGCCTCAGGGGTCTCGAGCAGCCGCGGCAGCAGGGCAGCGGCGACCCGGCGCGGGCATCTTATCAGCTGAAGGGCTGCCAGGCAGGTCTTAGGACCAGAGCCCAGAGTTCAGACGCGTGGGGGACTGTGCAGGGCCTGCTCTCAGCGCTCAGCCCGAAGGACCAATGAGCGCCGCTCCTTGGGGCGTGCCAGGCCAATAGGAAGCGGGGAGGCCAGTGAGTGGCATTGAAGAAGGGCGGGAGAAAGGGAGCCCGGGAGCGAAGTTGAAGCTAAACCTGTAAGCTATAAAAGAAGTTACCCAGGTTGGGGAGGGGGGGGGCGCTTGCGGCTCCCAATTAGGAATAATCCGGACTCGGTGGCCAGCGCCGAGGAAGATTCGAAATCCACCTCGTGAATCCCAAACCCGCATCCACCTCTTGCCAAACATCCCTCATCTAATTCGTCCCAAAAAAAAAAAAAAAAAAAAAAAAAAAGAAAAAAGGCAGCTCGGGCGTGCTCTGCTCCTCTGCTGGAGGCGACAGGGAGGCCAGCACCGTGACTGGGCCGGCGCGTGGGCACGAGTCCAGCTGGAAGAAGGGCGCCGCGGCACCCTGCTCAGGGCGTGAGTCCAGAAGGTAGGCGAAGCCGGAGACCCCGAGTATCCGGCTCCGGGAGGACCCGGCAGCCCCCTCCCCGGCATCCGCATGGGGCATCCTGTGTGCCACCTGTTAACCTGGCGCAGCGGGTCCTGCGTGCAACCGCCCCGCCAGGCAGAGAAAGAGAGAGAGAGAGAGAGAGAGAGAGAGAGAGAGAGAGAGAGAGAGAGAGAGCGCTCCGGGTCGCCACGGGAATCCCAGAGGGCTTGACGCTCTAAGTGTCACTTTTTGAGGAACCTTCTAGAATTGGGCCCCGCCTGGGGGAGGTACCCGGCCCTTCTTGGCCGAGGTTGGGTGTTGCGAGACTGCCGAGTGCTGTGGAGGAATTCTGCTTGGAGGGAACTGGCTTCCCTGGCTTCCCTGGCCGTGTGTTTAGTTGTCGGGGGTCCCAGCGCGAGGGGCGGGGCGATGTGAAAGCCGTCTGCAGGCTGCGCGGCCGGGAGCTGACTTCTGCTTGTCCTAACTGAACCCCCGGCCAAGGCCAGCACAGCCCCAGCGCGCCCAGACCCTCCCGGCCACTCACACTTTGTGGCCAGGTGTGAGTTCAGCCGAGCCGCAGATCTCTTACGCTCTGACGCTGTTGTCTTCACAGTGGCCTGAAAGAATTACCCGGAATTCCAGTTCTCCCCAAAGGGGCTCCCAGCCAACTCCAGTGCCGCTGGACCCAAGGGCAAACGTCGGGGATATGTCGGTTTTCCAAGGATCGGGGTTCTCAGGGCGGAACAGAAGAAGAGGCTGGCTCCTCTGGAGTCCTGCCAGCATCTGATTCCCAGAGACTTCCTAGGATTGCCCAGATTGCCCAGATTGCCTTGGATCAGCAACTTTCTTATACTTAAACTCAACGTTTCCAAGAAAATACTCTGTTTGCGACGCTGTCCTATTCATACGGTCAATCCAGTCTATCTGTGGCGCAGACTTCAGCCTCTTCATTCAAAGTTATGCTTTGTATTTATACTGAGTGTGATCGCTAATTGAAAGTTAATTTTTGTTTTGGATGAGTCTGTGGAGTTTACGTTGTAAGAAGAAAGGGAGACCGAGACACCATGAAAGAAAAGTCCAAAAATGCTGCCCGGACAAGGAGAGAGAAAGAAAACAGTGAATTTTACGAACTGGCTAAGTTACTGCCTTTGCCCTCAGCTATCACGTCGCAGCTGGACAAAGCATCCATAATCAGACTCACGACCAGCTATCTCAAAATGAGAGTGGTGTTCCCCGAAGGTGAGTGACTGCTGGGATGGAATTTCAAAGGAGAAGGGGGTGGGAGACCCCAGGCAGTATGCCTACACCAGTGAGCAGGGTACAGTGGTACACAACGCACAGGTCTTTAGGTATACCCTCTTAGCAGAGGGGAATTTAACCAAGTAACTTGACTAGAAAGTGCTGAACTTCTGCCTTTTCTAAGCCTCCCTCTACTTCCCCAGCTTTTCTCTCCAGCTTCTGGATGTTTTTGGTTGGGAAGAAGTCGGGTTTTGTCAACATTTCAGATACTTGACTCAAGGAAACACGACCGTCCTTTCTGTTCCTCTGATTAAAACGTATCCAGAAAACAAGGGCACTGCACAATTATGTGCTTGCTACATGTAGACTAGGCCTGGTATACGTGGTGCTAGGGAAGCCAGACAATAATTTCCCCAAAAGTACAATTCTGCAAAGGAGTGGGCACATGCATGAACAATATGTTCTGAATTCAACCAGTCTCTTGCCTGCTTCTAGTAAATTAATTCTGTTTTTTTAACATGTTCATAGATTCTGAAACTTGTTGATTTGCATTTCTGGCCTTGATAGTATCTGTAAGATTTTAAGATGGTCAAAATGAAGAGAAAACTCAGAATTTGGGTGTCAGATTGGCAAATAGATCCTAGGAAAACTGTTTTGTAAAAACTAGAAGTTAGAATAGCTGAAAGCCAGATTTGAGTTAAAATTGGAATTTCGATTCTCGAAACTCCCTGTGAGAGGGCAAGGTAGCCTGCACAGAATGCAGTCCAGTGCAAAACCATCTGTATTTACTAGAGAAAGGTAACACTGCCTAGGGAAAGCACACTTTTGTTGGTCTTTACCAAGTAACAAACACATGAAAAAAATATTTTGTTGGGAAAGGAGTTTTGAAAATGTAAAACAGTGATTACTAGACAAACAAAACTTCTAGAAAAATAACCCTGTTTGTTCATAAACAAGAACTCTTTGTCCTATAGAAATTGTTACTTGTTTTGTATGTTTGAGGTATGCTGTTTTCAAGGGGGAAGTAGCTATTTCTGGGGATGAAGTTTTACTTTGCTTGATTTGATGTAAAAGCTTCCAAAACATGCTGTGAATTAGGGGGCACTACAAAATAACCTTCCAATTAGTTCATCTCTACCCTCAAACTCATCAGTGTTGTTAGAGTTGGTCCCCTTAAAGTGTTTCTTGAGCAGTTCTTTCTTGACTCTAACCTAGAATCCAGGGAAGAGAGGAATTAAAGCGTAGAGTATTTAAAAAGTGTTTTTTTTTTTTTTTTTTAAGAAGGAGGGAGGACATATATAGCAAAAACTGTGTTTCATATTTAAACTGTGCTGAGAATTAGTCGTGGGAAAATTACCATTATGCCACCTGTCTTCTGTTTAAAAAAGAGATCTAGTTGTCTTTTATACTGTCAGTGCCTACTTTATAAAAATAAAGCTATTGCGAACTCCACTGGCCGCCTGCTCCTAACAGGATTATTAGCAGTGATTTGTCAGCTCCTGCGGTCTCAGTGGGTTCCCTTTCTGCGTGATTTCTACTGGGTCTCCTCAATTATTGGTGCCTATGTCGCTCTCTGTTTGATCAGAAGCAGCATATGGTGGGGCTCAGGGGGCTGCGAGTAATCGCAGGAAAAGAATAGAGGGCTGGCGTGCCCGCCCGGCCTTCACTAGGCAAATCCCTGCAGTCGCCAGGCCAAGAGACCCTAGTTGACTTCATGCAGACCTGGGACAGATTTGGAGAGAATCGGGCAGGGTCTTTTATTTTATTTTTTAAGGAGACAAAGCATTCGTCTTTAAGAACTAAGCTTAAAAATTAAAAAAGGTGTTATAAATAAATAGAAGGACCAAAAGTAAACGCATTATTTTTTAAAAGAGTATGGGTGACGATTCTCGCTGAGATCCCCTTGGGTGACCAGGCCTTCCTCTTTGGTTACTTTAAAAGACAATTGTACTTTCTTCAGCCCCCTTTCCTGAACCCCCTTCCACCTCCCTTTTCTTCTTAGGGTAATGTGAGTTTATGGGTATGAGCGATGTGTGAACTAGGTACATTTATTTCTCCAGCTACTGTTGTGCTCAACTCACCACCGGGAGCCTCCACACGACGAGTTAGACAGGGTCATCAGAACATCAAAACAGGGCTCCTACGGGTGAAGTTTTAATTTTGAGGTTATATGAGCTTCAAAACCCCCAAACTGAAAATATTAAAGATATTTTAATATTAAAATATTAAAGAAAACAACAACAAACAATAACAAAACAGCAGTTTTCAAAGGCGCGAAATAATGACAAGCGCAGAACCAGATACTACCTGCAGGGGGTGCCAAATTTGGATTCAGCCTTGTCTGTAGGTAGTGGATGGACAAGGTTCAGTTCAAACATTGGGGAAAACTGAACACTTTTTACGACTGTAATCTTTTTCGTGATGTTAAATGGAATTGGAAGCCAAAATTCATCTGTACACATATTTTGAAGCCTTCCTATCATAAAGTATAGGTCTTCAATAAAAATTTGTTCTGCGGGTAAGTATAGCTATTTTATCATGGTTAAATATCGTATCACATTCAACACGGATTTTGCAAGATGTATAGCCTCAAATAATTACAAATCTGATGACATAGTTATAGGCATAACAACACTGTAAAACTTGGTTTTGCTCATATCACATTTCATTTATACTACTGTGTAGTGCCAAAAGGTTAAATGAACAAACAAAAAAATCTTCTACATTTATCTACAAAAAACGGGGAAATAATTGAAAAAAAGTCATTTTGTGTATACAGTTTTTTTCCCCCCCACAGTCTAATAGTTTTTGTCTGGGACCATATTTTAGCTTTAATTTTTTTCTTTAACCTGAGTAGATAAAATTGAACAATTGAAGGGGAAAGAAAGGAAGGTGGGAGGGAGAGTAGGAAAGAGGGAGAGGGAGGAGGAGGAGCAGGACAAGGAAGTAGAGGAGATCCCTACTTAAGTACTTGGAATAATTAAGAATTAGCATTAAGACATGTGTGGTAGTGCACACCTATAATCCTACTTCTTGGGAGGTATAGACCTGGAGGGTAAGAAGTTCAAGATCTAAAAAACAAACAAACAAACAAATAAACTAAAAACTAAAAACAAGAAGAGGTGGAAGTGAGGGTGGTGAAGAATGTGGAGAAAGAGAAGGAGGAGCAGGAGGAAGAAGAAGGAAGAGGATGAGGATGAGGAGCATGAGGAAGAGGAGGAAATAACAAGCATTTGATTGACATTAGAGATTTAATAGGAAGAAGATCATTAAAAGTGCATATCTTCTGATGACTGGCATTCTATTCTGAAATAGTCATGCAAAGGAAAATTTGAGGCATGTAGAAATGCATGTCTCTAATGTTACAAATTCCAGAGAGACAAAAATTAAAAAAGAGATGGCATGACCTTATTTGTGTGCAAAGCAGGACAAATTCAACTTTAAAGCAGTAGTCTTTGTTATCCAGCTGTGATACAGTTTTGGGTGAGGGCATAGCGACACGCCCAGGAAACTGAGCATCAGATATGGTTTCAGGTCTGCAACTATTCAGAATCTTGGTAACATCGCTGCACTTCATTGTCAAAATGTCTTTGGAAAATGAAAATCATCAGAGTTGAAATTAGTAACTGCTCAGGAAAGACTAACAAAGGTCAAGGATAACTAAACAAAACTCCACAGACCCTATACCAAGCAAACCAAAGACTGAATTCCTTAATCGGTGCACTTTTTGAGTCAAAGAAGTGAAAAAGAAAAAAAGGCCCCTTTTCCCACGTGGATGGGTGATTTAAGGCTGTTTTTCTTGCTACTCAGGGAAATGATTGAGCATTAGGTTTCCATGTTTATTTTCGTACAGAAGTTTTTCTCATTTGAAGCCTCATTTAAGCACAGTTTATGCTGTACTCTGGTTTTCTTTGTTTAATTCTAGTTTTGATGTTGACTTTAAATGGATGAAGAATTAACTGTGCAAAGCAGATTTATGTGCTAGAAACTGTAGAGTCAATCAATAGAAAATACTTTATTTTTTTTTTAAAAGGGGATATATCACTAATTAAAACAAACAACAGACAAAGCATCTTAGCTATGGTGGATGATTTTAAGTCGGGTACAATTGCCCACCTGAAGCTAAAACCAGGCTAAACATGAAAGGACAGATCTGATTTCTAAGGTTGTTGTATTTCAGTTCTGGGTGATCTTGGCAGTTTGGAACTTTTATAAGCCAAATGCGGACTCCGAATGAAAGTCCATGGATTCTTTTCGTGTTGTGTTCTTTAGCTGGTCTAGGTATTCCTCAAGAAAATGATACTAACAATAATACCTATTATTTTCTGCGGGGGAGGGGTGTCACTCATTGTGGAGATCTTGGAACTGCAATTATTTAGGACCGGTTCAGCACTCTGACGGTGCTTGCTTGAAGAGTGAGTTGGGCAGAGCAAACTTCTTTCTCCTGCAGAACATACAGTGGGTGGCTCTTCCTGGAATTCACTCTACCTTTGCGATTCTGATCCAACCTGGGATCGCAGTGTTATCCCAGTCTCCAGTGCGCCTCTCCCACAGTGGGATGTTTACCGCTAACGGTCGGCTGGTTGCGTGGGTTTTCCTTTTGAGGTTCTGTTCTAGAGGTCTCCGCACAGATCCGGTGGGGTCCACCGAGAGGAGGGAACGGCTCTACTGCCGCTGAGGGATGTGAACCTAGCTTTGTGCAGCCTAGCGGCCCACTCCGGTCGGACGAATGACCGAAACCTTCAGCGGAGACTGGTTCTCGGGCTGTTCCCAGGAGGGCGCGCTCGGCTGGGTTCTGCCGGTCCCTTGCAGCATTGCAGTGGCACGGGTCTCTGAGGAGGTAGCAATACCAAGTCTATGCCACTCGAAGACCGAAATCCGGGATGACTTCGTTTGACGGTATCGGCCTCCATGCCCACTCCTCGCTACACTTGTCCCCAGTTTTAGGTCGGATCTTTTGGGACTTAGCTGTCCTCTATTTCCGGTAGTGTTGGTTCCCTCGCGGCGGATGCTGGCGGGTTAGACAGCGAAGCTGTCAGGCTGTCCCCAACCCGAAGCCTGAACTCCGGGCTGGAAAGAAGCAACCAGGATGGCCTCTGTGACTTGGCGCCTTTATTCCCGAATCACACACGCACACACACACACATACACGCACGTACATGCGCTCACACATTCACACGCACACTCACACACGTGGTTCCCGACACAGACGCAAGGGCTCAGGCAGCGACAGACCAGGGGAGAAAGGCAGGATACCCGCTATGGGGTCCGGTACGGAGCGCGACTCTGTCACCATTGCCCTCCAGAACCCCGCAAGTGCGCGGTGGCCGGGACAGTTCTGAGCGCCGGCCGGGACAGTTCTGAGCGCCAGCCCGGACGAGCGGTGCGCCTTGGTGGGTGCTGCAACGCTCTGCGCAGGGGCTGTGCCAGGAGTCAGTGCTGACCCGGAACACCTATTCCAGGATCCTCTTCTGCGAGTTCCGCTGCGGACCTGCGCCAAGCCAAACGCCTAGGTCGCTTCGTCCTCAACCTGAAAATGCCCGGCTTCGGCCTCAGCAACTGCGTGCGCACAAGCACTGCAGGGCAGAATACACTAGGTTTAGGGTTGTCGGTACTACTTCCCTGGGCCAGCCCTTCTTCCCACACCATCCGCAGGCGGAAGACTCTGGTAGCTGCTACTACCTTGAACTTAGCAGAGATAAGCAAGAGTTTTTCTCGCTGTTGAAATCGGGTCACGGGACACCTCCAGCTTCAACATTCCTATGGTCTGAAAGGCATACTAGGCACTGGGCGGATAATGGTTACTGGGATGGACTCTGGGGAGGACACATTTCCATGGAGATATAGTGTTGATAAATTAAAAGGAAGAGAGGAAAGAAGGAACAAGAACAATTAGAAAAAGCTCTTCTCTTCCTGTCTGAGTGATGGAGGTGACAATGCCTAGTCTGTAATCTATATTTTGTCAAGGGCATGAAATTCATTCAAAGGAAAAGCTCGATCAATTTATTTTTGCTGCTTGCAATAACACAGCTGGATGTCTCTTTGAGTTCACGGTAGACTGGGGCTCATCATTCATTCGCCAAGAACGGGCCTAAATGGTGCCGGTGGGATTAGGTCAATTTTAGTGGATCTACTTCGCCTCATTTGGTTACTAATTGGTTTCTTGTTTTATAAATCGAAATCTCATTTTCAGGAAATTACAAAACCCGTGCAGTCAGTCCATTGAGGTAATCCTTGGGTCAGGGGGTATTTAAATGGAAATGGCTCAACCGTGCACCAAGGGTAAAGCAACAGTGAAATTTGCCTGGATTCTCACATGAAATGTGAGCTAGCCCTTTAGATCTATAATAGATACATCCCTTCTAATGCTACTTATGTAAATATGATAAACCAGACTTTAAGGGAGTAGAGGGGCCTGAGAGAAGCAAAATTTATCTGCTAAGGTTAATGTGGCATATCTTGGAACTCTTCCAAAATAGATTATGTTTTCCTTTGTCTTCAGACACTTTAGCTGGGGAAAATCCCTTTGTCTAAACCTGATTTAGTTATTGCCTCCCTCACAGAACTCTTTTGCTCCTTTGCAAAACCCTGTTCCCTCCGCCTCACCAAATTACAGGGAAATCTTTAGATCTTGTTCTCACTGTAATCCCGTTGCAAAGGAAGCTGGTCCTCCTTATTTTAAACAGACAATCAAAGGATTTGCAAATTTTCTGCGGTAGGTCAAGTGCAGAAAAGAAATCTCAGCTTACCCACTCGCCAACTGAAAATGGGTGCTGGGGTGCTAACCCAAGGCAAGAGGCAGGAGGGTAGGTGGCAATACTTTGGGGAAGACTTTGGGGAAGGGGAGCCCTGATCTGGTTTGGGGAGGAGCACTCCACACCTTGAAGGGCAAGGTGGGCCCTGGCATTACTTAGGAGAACTCTATAGATAGACCTGGGCAGCCAGCTCCACAGAAAACATCAACCCAGATTCAACCGTGTGACAAGTTTCCATTCCGGACAAAAAAGAGAAAGCAGCACACCGTGGAAGCACAAGACTTCTCCAAAGGATTATGTGTGTGGTGGGAGGGGGCATGTGTAGGGGGAGAGAGAGGCTAGGAGGAGGGCGAGGGACGCCAGGTTAGTCCTCAGCTCAGGCTGCTTATTCATCTGTGGGGAGTCTTATTTTCCCTTATAGGTGCATACTAAAGAGAGCACATACCTACCAGGAAAAACGGAGTTTTGAGCCAGGAATTTTTTTTTTTTTTTTTGTCCTTTTGAAGCGGGGTCTCCTTGTAGCCCCAGCCGTCCTGGAGCTCACTATGTAGACCAGGCTGGCCTTGAACTCACAGAGATCCGCCTGCCTCTGCCTCCCAAGTGCTGGTACTATAGGCGCGCTCCACCGCGACCCGGCGAGCCAGGAATTTTTACTCGACTCTCCCGCCCCCTGCCCCTCCTTCCACCCCCGAACCCACAGGGTGATTTTCAAATCTCGGAGACCGGAGGCTAACCGCTTCAGGAGGGCCTGATAGTTCAGTGGAAGTTTACTGCCCCAAACGCAGGTTTCACTTGCTTCGGAGTTGGGGAACTTGTCTCCACGACACTTCAGGCTCCTCAGCTGGAGGATGCGGAAGTGCTCCAGCGCAACTTCTGGCTTTCAGGACTTTGAGGGCTCTGCCAGTCTTCAGCACTCTCAGCTGAGTCCTTTCTTTTTTTCTTAGTGGGCCAACTTCTCAAATCCTCCAGCTACTCCTGGGTGGGCATGTCTGAGCAGGGACCAAAACCTAACCAGTCCTATTGGAAACTGAGGAGGATAGGTTTGGCCCACTCAGGAGGAGCCAGGTAGAAAAGTTGACAGTGCAAAGGGGTGTGTGGCTGTGGCCTGGCCTTTTGGACTCCTCAGGGAAGATATTTAGGCTAGGGCCAGGACAGTGGAGTTACTCAGGGGAGGGAAGCTGGGCATGCTACACAGTTAAGAGGGTTCAAGCTGCTAGGGAGGGAGAAAAGGGAAGGAGAAGAGGCAGTCTTGGGCAGGGAGCATCTGTATTTGCAGAGCAGCACAGAAATCGTTAGATTTATTTAGATGTGCAAACACCCTGAAAGACCCTGTTTGAGCTTAAGGGATGCCTCTCTGTACTGATGCCAGGGTTTTGATCACTTGCTTAGGAAGCAGCTCCTAGTCAACACCTTTAAAAGTCTAACTCAGTGTTTTATCATGAAAAATTCTTCACCATCCCATATTGTAATTCAAGTGTATTTATCATTGTGTACTTCTTTGGAGCATTTGCTTCTAATGAAATAGACCATCTCTTTAAAAATGGTTAGATTTTATTTGACGATGTAAGAATAATAGATTTTACCTTTAAAAATAAATGGTTAGACCTTATTTGATGATGTAAGAATGAAATAATTTAGCTATCTAGTTGAAGTAATTTGATCAGCAGCACAGGTATAGGTTATTACTAAGTGATTGAACATGTCTTCTTTTTTTTTTTTCTTTCTGGACACAGGCAGTATAGAATATTTTATATTAATTAAAAATAAGACTACTTTTTAAAACATCAGTAGAAAAAAAGTTTGTGGCAAAGGGTTGAAAGATAACCATGGTATTACAAAGGGGTGGAATGGGCTATCTTTGTTTATAATGGACCAAGAAACAGGGAAACCACCGATTCTCTCCATATGCAGAGTAGAGAAAAACAAAACAAAACAAAACAAAACAAAAAAAACTGCCCAGTTGTTAACTCCAGAAAAGTCAGTGGTGTTTTTTGGGAATGGGATCTGGAGACTAAGGAGTGCTTAAGGCAGGACGGAGAAGGAGAGGAACCTTTGAAACCGGATGCTGGTGAAAGACAGGCTGGAAGTAAACCATAAAAAGATTTTCTCGCCCTAGGAGAGTGAAGTCAGGGGCCAAGGAAGAAGGGTGTCTAGAAAGTCAGGAGGCCAATCTGAAAGGCTGCCAGGGACTGAGCAGATGTAGCCTCAGGCCTCAGGTTTCTCTCGGTAGAAATGGTTTCTCTGGGTGGCAATGGTTGGCTGAGTGAGGACTCTCTGGCTCCAGATGGAAACTTTGAGCGGGGAAATATAGTGTACCTCATCTCCATAAACATAGGAAACTCGAAAGTTAGTGCTGGAATTGGCCTGTCTAGGTGGAGGCCACTTGAAGTCCTTTAAGACAGGAGCTCCAAGAGGACCCTGGCTTTCCCTCCTTCCAGAAATCCAGTCAGGTCTGGAGATTCGGAGGAGCCAGGTCCAAGGTGGAATTTGGTGCCGGAGAGGGTCCGTCAGTCGCGCTACTCCGGCTCGGCTCGCAGAGTGAAACAAACCCTGATCACACAGTAGCCCGCCAGGGTTCTTTGCTGAGGTTGTGTGTCTCCACAGGGCTTGGCGAGGCATGGGGCCACACGAGTCGGACCAGCCCCCTGGACAACGTTGGCCGCGAACTCGGTTCTCATCTACTCCAGGTACAGGCGCAGGTCTCCGGGATGCCTAGGCAGCTCCCAGGCTTTGGGTTTTTCAGGAAACCCCACCAATTTGGAAAAAAAAAAAAAAAAAAAAAAAAAAAAAAAAAAAAAGAGGCGGAGGTGCGGGGGAGGATCCAAACCCCAGTAGCTCCTCTAAAGTTTAAAATCTTCGCTTTTTACCTAGCTGGGTGAGGATAGACCAGTGGTGCCTTCCCAGACTGAGCGGGAGGCAGAAGGATCACCAAGACTGTGGGTTTGGAAAAATATTTCCGCAAGGTCCCAGCAGGTCTCCAATCTAGGGAGCGGGCACCATTGGTTGCTTTTCGGTTGAGGAAACAGGATCGCAATGCTCCAGGCCTCAGGGACAGGGCTGAGGAACCCTCTAAAATGAAGGTTTCGCAAAGGAAATGACAGGAATCTACCTGACCGCGCTTTAAGGCGGCACATTCCTGACCCAGCTGCCGCAGCAACTCATTTCTTCTCTTCCCGGCAGTTCCCAGGCTTCCTCCTTTCTACAACATCCTACTGGTCCAGGCTCTGTACAAACTCTACAACACACGCGCACACACACCCCCAGGATGAGTTTGGCTAATGTGAGGTGGCCCGGTTACCTTGTTATTTACAGTGCATATGGTTTTAAATTGCCTGTTGCTCGCTTAAGCCGCAGAACAAATATTTTTAAATAACAAAATTCCCCACCGCATTTTAGGTTTGACACTTCTTCCCCACACTGCACCCTCTTTATTATTATTCAAGTCCACCCGGAACTCCTAGAGTGGTAGCCAGGAACCTAACAAGAATAGTGGAAATCAGCCAGCAGGAGCTATATCCAGCAATAGTCCTTTCTCCAGTCTCTCCAGAACACCAAAGAGAGTTTAGTTTTCCAGAACAAAGGGCTTGGGGTGAATGTTCCCCCACTAATCTGGCCTCTTTTCTGAATTTATCCAGAAAGCCCATAGCTACCTTCACTAAAGCACCTTACTTCAGATGAGGTACCTGCAATCTGCCCTGCTACCATTCCATATTTCCAGCTACTTTCTCCCAGTGATAAGCGCAAGAAAGCAAAACCCAAACATCTTTTATCCCTTCTAGCTCTTGCTGAATATCGGCCCCCACATTCCTGCAGACTGGCATCTCCCATTCATTGTGTTCCTCACAGGCTCCATCACATTCTGATATTAAGAATTGGATGCACATCTTACTTGGACTTGTTCAGGTTACAAACACAGGAAGATCAGTTGTGTGCCAGACAAAAAAGCCTTGCCCTCATGTTGTTTACATTTGAATGGCAATAAAGGCAGTCTAACAAACACAAACAGTTGGGTTGCATAGTAATTGGGGTGCCATAGAAGCTGTAGAGAAAAATAAGAAAAGAAGGAAGAGAATGGTTTTTAAAATCAGGATGGACCCAGTGTCTCACGGCAAAACTGACATTTGGGCAAAGATGGGAAGGAGGTGATACTAATTACAACATTCTTCTCTTCCCTGAGTTTTTGCAATAGCACAATTTTCTCAATTTATCTTCTTTTCTGCTTGTCTCATTTAAAACAATTTCCACATTGACTGTGCTGCAAATGATGTCATTTGGACAGGATCCTAACTCTGTTTCTTCTCTTAGAACTTTAAGACCTCTAGGGGTATTTAAACAAGTACTTCCACCTGAACTCTTTGGTCCCCATGACTGAAGTTGGTTTCTCCAGTCTGGACCTCTTCCTGAGGTACAGACCTTTGTTTCTTACTGACACATCTAAGACAAGAATGTCTTATCTCCCCTCCCCCCAGGCTTCCAATCATAGAAAATCTCCATTTCCCCAAACTTTCAGTCTTAGTTAATGGTGCCACTTTCTGCTTAATATCCTTATTGGAACCAGGAGGTTAGCCTTTTCTCTCTGCCACCAATTAGCATGCTATCCACATTTAGTACCATCATTAAATTAGGCTCTCCTTTTTTCTTCATTTGCCTTGTGAGCACTTGATTTCAGATCTGATCATCTCTACTGCAGCTCTGTGTTCTCCTTATCCCTGTTCCTGTAGCTCATTCTGCGGGAAAATGAGTACATCAAAATATATTATTCTCTTGCCTAGAAATCTCTGCTGGAATTCCAGTGCCTGCAGGAACAACTACAGATTCCTCAGTTCCTCAGATTGTTATTCCAAACTCCAAAAATCCATTGAGGATGTACTTCTGCAGCTTCCATCTCTCATACACCAGACTTACTACCTCTTAACACTTATCCACTCTCCCTCAGTCTCTGCCTTTACCAGATCATTTCTTCTGCCTGAGATGCTCTTTAGTCCAAACTTTCTTTCCAACAGTCTACTCAAATATCAAGTTTTTTTAAGGCCTCTGTGATGCTCAGCTTCTAGGTCTCTTGCTTCTTCAGCACCATCTATTTAGCTGTGTAGTCAACACATTTATCTTCAGGCCAGTTGTCTCTGTGGGACTTCTTGCTCATTGAGGGCAGAGTGTGAGTCATTCTAAGTCTCCAGGCCTCATTCACAGAGATGAAAGGACAGGGAGAGTCTAAAACATTTCTTCAGAACGATCCTGACAGCTTGATGCATCATACATACAAACATACACAGGGTAACACCACTCTATGGACTTGCTTGCAGCTCAGGCAAGTCTCTTATCTCCTGAATCCCCTCTCCTGAACCCTTTCCAGAGTCATGACCAGTTTGCTTCTGTCTACAAATTTTAAACTGCCAGTTCTCCCATGTCAACTAGTGTGTGATGCACTGGATCTTTCCCAAGCTTGGCTATAGCCTTTGTTATTGTGGGTAACTGGCACTATGGAGCCCTTCAACAACAAGTTCTTACAGTAACCACCATTCCAGAAAACTTCATTTACTTCTTCTGGAGGGCTGTTACTTCTCCCCAGCACCTAAAACTTCTGTGTATGGCCACCACAGAATGTCTTTTTTCTCTTTCAGTGGATCTTGAGTCTTACAGGGCATCAGCTTTGTTCACAGCCTCTACCAGTGTGCTACATGCTTACAAACTTGGAAAACACCAAAGAAGAGATTCTTGCAGCTGCTTCTATGTCCTGTTGTGAAGTCAGTCACAGCTCCATCTCTCTGCACTGTAACTGTCTCTAACTTCTCTTTTCCCTGCCTCACTTCTCCAGACCTCTTAATTCACTCTATTTCTGCCTCCCCAGACCCTGGATGGCTTTATCTTCGTGGTGGCCCCAGATGGGAAGATCATGTACATTTCAGAGACAGCTTCAGTTCACCTGGGCCTTTCTCAGGTAGGTGAGTGGTCCAACCTTCCAGCCTGCAGTGTTCACAGACAAAGTTGGAAGTGTCTATTTGCTTGGGGAATGAAAACCTCTCAGGTGATAGGAGGACTCCATTTCCTTACCTCTGAACTTCCTTTATCCTTTAGTTTCTACTCCAGGGTCAAACAGTTGCTGCTTTTTAAAATTCTCACCATAAGGCAGACATGATGGGAGGAGTTTCCATACTTATCTCATGTTCTCTTTACCAAAGCATTTTTGAGGGTTGCTACTGTGACTATTATTGTTCTCACCACCACTGATACTGTGATTATTTCACAAGTAAGGAAGCTGAGGTTTAGATAAGTTGTAACAGGTAGCAAGCATCAGAGCCTATGCCAGGTTGCTGGCTTCTGTCCTCATGGTGCTCTAGACACCCAGGCCCAAGTTTTCAGCTTCCGATTGAGGCATTGTTGTACCACTGCAGAGATGGTGATCCCCTCCTCTTTATAGGTAGAACTGACCGGAAACAGCATCTATGAGTACATCCACCCTGCTGACCATGATGAGATGACAGCAGTGCTCACTGCACATCAGCCCTACCACTCTCACTTTGTGCAGGGTAAGGCGGACATGTGCCTGGGACGTGTCGTTCCCCGCCCCCCCCCCCCCCCCCCCCGCCGCCTGCCCCCCGCTCGGGCGCCCGTCG